TTTGGTCTTTTTTGTAGATCGGTATTATTTTATAAATCGTTACAATATCTAAAATAGGAAAAATAAGGAAAATCGAAAAAAACAGGAAAATCGAATAAAACAGAGAAAACAAAAATCGGAGAAATCGAAGGTAGTACAAGATTTGGCTGCGGTAACTCCGGGGGGGTAGATTTGCCGTTTACATCAGAAGACAGGTTTTTCTACATAAAAATTTTATCAAGTATTTTTCAGGTACGAAACTGAAACAACTAATATATTCGTATGATATAATAATAATAATAAGAAAAATAATAACGATAAATAAAAAAAAATATTATTATTAAGCAGTGGCGGGTCGGGGGGTCCGGATGCCCTTTACACCGCAAAATTGGACTGCGGCTTAGTCATATGGGCTCTGGAAAGAAAGCTCGGCTATATACTCTTCTTGCAAGTATCGTTCATTCGGTTATAATCTTCTACTCCATCTTGACTTTCTTTGCCATGACACCGACTACCTGAGCTGGATTAAATTTATCGTCGGGTTTGGATAATTTTTTTTTTTTTTTTTTCTACATAATACTGAGATTTTATTTTGATTATAAAAAAAAATATTCAAAGAAATTATGATATTTATTATTATTTTGTTTGTAGTTTATCAATCACTATCTGAAATCTCGTATTCATAAAGAAACGCCTCTTGTTGTTGTAATACCTAAAACTTGACCTTGTCCATTTAAAATAGGGATAAAAATATCTTCTCTTTCTCGCATCGTGTTAAGTTGATTCATGAGGTTTTCGATTGTATGTCCGTTTATCGAGCGTTCATAGTTTAAATCCTGGTTAAGCTCTTGTTATTTCTTTCTATTTCATTAATCTAATTAGTAAGTCTATTTCATTCAGTATTTATTTGGTCCATGATCCTTCTCATATTTCTATGATTTATTTCTTATTGTTTGTAACATAGAACTACGTTCATTAATCATATCTTGTAATATTTCTAAACTTTCTTCGAGGTCTCTTCCTCTAATATCATTGTATCTAAAGAAACTTTCAACATGTCTTCTTTCTCTCCGAAGGAATTCCATGTGGGAGTTTAAAAATCTTATAAGATTTTCTTGAGGTGTAATATTATCTGACCTTGTATATCTCCTATTTACACGCCTCAATTATTTCATCTTTCTTATCATATGTTATTGAAGTCTCATGTAGGTGCGTACTATGATATTCGCCTGCCTCCACCTTTCTAGCTGCTACAATTGCTTCATTAAGGTTCTTCGGGGATATTACTGCCACAAAGGTCATGGTTTTTCCTTTCAGCGCACTAAGAATATTCTTACAGTATATTGAGCAGGTAATGATTCTTCGGGGTCCACGCGGCTTAGGAGTTTTTTAAACTTGGTTGCGTAGGTATCGACCTTTTCGTTCTCACGTTGGATGAGGTTATTCAACTCCATATACCATTTGTGTTGTTTTTCAGGGGTTGCGAAAAAGTAATAAGTTGGTAATAAAAACTCTGATCCTGGTCATTTTCATTTTCCATTCTTTTACATTCCTTAAACCATCCCTTTTAGGTATCCTGAGGCTATTTTGAGCTTCCTTTCATCTGACTAGCTGTTTGCTTCCGCAGCCCATTCAAAATTATCAAACCAGTCAATGGGATGTCGTCATCGTTTCCACTAAAACTTCTAACCTTCGCATGGTTAGTTTCTTTAGAGCCGGATCCATTTCCTTTAACAATGTCTTTGGCTGCGTCTTCAAATGACTTGGTCATATTTTCGATCAATTCTTTAAGCTGAGTGGCATTCATGGTTGCTGGACTAAATTGCGCAAAGATTCCTTCCAGGGTGTCTTGATATCAGGCTTTCTCTATTACTGTATTCTATTTAAGTTTATACTAACACAAAAAAAATTTTTTTGAATCGGAGGGGGGTAGCAAACGTTAACTTCGAATCTCACAGTCACTACCAAAAATGTAATGCTAGAAAAAGGACTGCGACTCGGTCGCTCAACAATACAAAAACTCACATAACCAAGGGTTAGCAACCTTACGAACGAGGTGTGTTAGATTAGGTTGAGGGATATTAAGGCTCGGGTTACTTGGGTCACAAGCGTCCGGAAGGTTTGGGTCACGTAAGCAAGAGGTTAAACGAACAAGGAATTATAACAGAATTTAAAGAGTATATTAGCGTAGCAGTAATTTATGTAAGGTTATGAGCGATTTATTCAATAAAATTGGGCTTTATTATTTAGTGAAGCAAACGAGACTTTTTTTTCTCTCAAGGGCCATTTCAACCTTTATTTTAATATTAATTTTTTGCGATACATATTACATTTATTTAATATATTCCCCACATCCCATATATTTCGCATATGTCGCATTCGCTATATGTGTCGCCTACGTCGCATGCGACACATGTAACGGATGCGACAGATGCGACCTGTCCCACCATTTGTGTTCCGGAAGGAACGTGACTATTTAATCACGTAACTTATCACGATTTTCCTTCCTTAATTCCTCCTTCACACTAGTAACTTACTACTAACTTACTACTATCGGAGGCTATCGGCGTTACCTCCACTCAAAAGAAACACAGCGACAGCGTCGCTACAAAATCCAAGACGCAGCGTAACGTGACACTACTTTAAAGAGAGGCGGGATTTGATTTGGCACGGTTAAGGCGATAGCGAAACGTTATGCGAAGGTAAGTTTATTTTATTATTTTGGATTACAGTAGTTTTGATACATTGATTGAAATTGTCTGAACTGCTCTAAATCTAATCTCAAATTTGCATCCATTTTATACAAAATTCATATACACAGAAAAAGAACAAAAAAGAAAATGAAGGAAAGAAAAATGATTCTAACGAAGGTTTCACTTCGTTATTTCAGACAAACAACCTTAAAACCCGTCATGGCGTTAAGGCACGGCCACGAACTAATCCGGATATGGTTAATTTAACCCATTGTTATTTCTAAGCCGCATCTTTGACAATAGGGTTAATTATCCAACAGTACCTTTTCGGGTTTAACCACGAATTGCTGATCACTGGTCCTGCGGGATCTTCACATGCGATTCGGGTCCTACTTTGCATGTGGGTCTTTGGATCGGTTCTTGGTTGTTGCTTCTCTCATTTCCTTTCGTCGTTCCTCTAAACTTTTAGATCATGAAGATATGATTTCTAATGTTCCTCAAAATCCTTCCTTTTGACAAAGGTAATTACTTTGAGGCGCGGTTCCTTCTTTCTTCGACATATCGATTTTGCCTCTGACAGTATTATTACTAATTATTGCTTATGATGTATGATTATTACTTGTTACAATTTTCAGATGTAATCTGGAGAGCAAAATTTTAAACTCAATAATTTGTTGTTCGAATTGAATTTTGCATCTTTACTTATTATTTTTAATTATTTCTGACAATTTTTTACGTAATAAATAATAATAAGTAAATAATATGTTACTTACTTTGCTCATCTCTAATGAAAACCAATCTGTCATAGCTCTGATAAATTTGCAGATTATTTTTCCAGATTTAAAGTCAAACAAATTCAAACCTGGTCAAATAATCTGCAAATTTGACCAGAGCTATGACAGATTGGGTTTTCAAATTCCACAAATAGACCGATATGGAAAATAAAATATGATTTTCGAGAAATTAAAGCTATTCGTTGATTATGTAAACATGGTAACCTGTAAAATTTTTGTGTAAGTTGTACGTAATCAGGGAGAATACCTGGATTTGTATTTTTTTTTATTATAATTACGTATTCCTTAAATAAAAATGCTGCATTGAAATAATATGGATATGCCTTATTCCATCGACACTCATTTCGTAGACACAACATTTCACCGACAATCAATTCACCGACATGTTTGTTTCACAGACAACCAATTCCTAGACAAGCTCATTTCGTAGACAACTCATTTCATATACA